TGAAATATTAATGATTGGTTAGCTCGACATCATTTGTTAACAACGAGTGTTTTGGTAAGAAACATCGTGTTAATGTCGGTAATATTCTCGATTTCTATGGAAAATAGATTTGCAAAATGAATTCAGCCATTCCTGAAATTCTTGATACTTTGTAGAGAACAATTTTGCCTTCAATTCTACGCAAAAAAAATTGGTGATATAACATTTTGGTCATTATTGTTGTTTATCATATTGATCGCATGATATAAAAGTTAGTTTTACCATTTTTTTTTCTGTTGTTGCATATATATATACACTTGATCGAAATTATTTATTTTTCTAGTTAATTACATTTGAAATATATGATCAGATATCTTTGTTTTATGTCATAAATTTATATATATATGTAATATCTATTTTCAATATATTTAATTATATTAAACCCATTTCATATTTTCACTTTGAATTTGTTTTTGTCTAGTTGTATTCAAAAATAATTTCTGACTGTAATTTTTCTTGCTATTGTTTGATGTCTGTTACTGTATACTTGAATATGTTAAAAAGAAAATTGATTTTTTTTTGATTGATTGAGTAGTTTTCTAAGTACAGAAAAAGAACGTACGTACCTTTTTTTTTCTTTTTGCGTCTGTTTTTTTTCATTCATGTAATTATAAGGTTTCTTTTATAAACAAAATAATGACTACTATCATACATATCTTCTCCTTCATTAAAGCTTTTCTGATGAAAATAAAATTATCAATTCATATATGTTTATTCTAATAAGCAATATTAAATTAAAATCAAGTTTATCGAATGAATAGCAGCTAATATGAATTAGTATAACTCGTGAATCAAATTATAAAAAAAAGTAATTATATATCGTTCGTCATATTTTCCATGAGAGTATACGATTCAACACAAGAATAAATAACCCGATGTGTGAAATGAAAATATTGATTATCTTCTCGATTAACCATTAGAAATATAGGTATTTGAAATAGTTTATAATTTGAGCAAATATTCCGAATTTTACTATTGATTATTTAATATTCATAGTAAAATGAAAACAATCTCAGTTCCAATAATCACAATTTATATCGCATTAATTTCAATGAAATACGCTGAACATTGGACAAAAATAATTATATCAGTGATGGAAAGTTAAAGTTGAACAATAATAGTATGGAAAATTAATCCAAAGAAAAAAATGAAATCGATTGTTTATTTTCACTTGAAAAACTCATAACATGCAATGCAAAAGTCTTAGCAAAAATGTCAAACTCCGTTAGATCATATTGCCACCTTCTAAACCAAGCAAATTATTTTTTGTTAGAATGATCAATGTCTGAACTACAAATTTTGTTACAGATATATTTTCAAGACCGAATTTGAGAAGAAGGAAAAGCTAAAAACCAAACATTTCTAAGAAATTTTTGCAACTTGAAAATTTTGTAGTTCTAAATTATTTTGAGCTACACAAGTCAAGTTTGAACAGAAAAGAACACCAAAATGTAGCGCATCCAAAACTCTATCGATATCCGATTTTAAAATTTTTTCGAACTCATTCTAGCCTCTTTAATCAAAAATGTTTGAAACAAAAAACTTTTACAAAATTGAGCCCTTTGCAAGAGTAATCGGTTTACAAAAAAATTGCAGCCACCATCTCCATAAATCATGCATGAACTCAATTTTTTTCCGTCATTTGGTCGAAATATATATAATCGAAGAATTTGAGCGGAAAAAAAATAATTCAAAAAGTATTTTTTATCCTTTTAAAATAATGAAGTAGTGAGAATGACCGAATTACTCAGTGGCTTCTAGAAAAAGCCATTTATTGTTATAAGAACCAAAGATCAATTGAACTTTCAATCGACCAATATGAAGAGAACTCTTTGCGCTACAAAAATCATTATTAAATTTGCTTTCTCATTTCTCTACTAATATAAAAAGACTAACAGAAAATAGGAAAAGTGGTTTCGAGGTGGTGAAGTTGCAAGAGCTTTTTTTTAAGGGATGTTTGATTTTTAGCTTTTCTTCCTTCTGAGATTCGGTCATGAAAAATATATCTACTCTAAAATTTGTAGTTTAGATATTGCGCTTTCTAGCAAATAAAAAAATTGATTGGTTTAAAAGTTGACAATATGGTCTAACCGAGTTTGACATTTTTGACAAGCCTTTTGCATTGCATGTTACGTATATTAATTTTTTTCATCACTCTTTTCAGGAGGCAAATCATGCTTTTTTTTGAGATAGGTAGGTAGTTTTTTAAAGTGCCTAGAAAAAATCTTTGTATAATTTTCTGCAATGGAATTGTTTTATTTTCCAATCAATTATTGTCAAATTTGGAAATGTTAAAGCTGCATAATAATAAATAACAATGATTTAGCCGATAAAATCTATTTAAATCATTACATTTAGTAAGATAATAAAGTTTATATAGTGCAGAAAATATTTCTTACCTCGATTATATTTTTTATTTACAATTTTACATTTTAATTGACAAAAATAAATTCAAAAAAAAAATGTTTTCATCATAACATATTATTATTCATATTTCCTTTAATTATTAATACTAATACAAAAGAAAATCTTTCAAGTATGAATTCTAACTATTTCTCTATCAATGAAGAAAATATTCGAATATTGAATTATATTATGATAGAAATATTTAATTTTTCCATAACATATAATCACCTATCGACGACTTATGAAGGAATCCTTTTCAGCTGCTCTCTTCCGATTTCAATAATTTTTGCCTAGAGATACTATATAGTTTTCTAATAAAAATCCTAAAAGGATTTAGTTCCATATTGATAGTTAACCAAGCTATCGAATTTATAATAAGTCTATTTTCTAGAAGCTTCAAGTTTTTGGAAAACTCGTATTTTCGAACTTTCTTAACTAGAGTAGATTCCATAAAAAAAATATTCAGAAATTTTGAACAACGTTTCTTCGAGATATGAGACATTCAAGATAAAAAAAACTTTTTCCATGAATAGTTTATACAACATGCATCATTTGAAATACTCATATGATCAAAATTCGAAAATACGAATTTTTCGAAAACCTTGAACTTCTAGAAAATAAAAATATTAAAAATTCTATAACTTAGTCAAATATTTCTAGGGTTTTTATTAGAATACTATGTAGCATCTATAATTAAAAAATCATTGCAATCGGAGGGAGGGATTGGTGAAAAAGATTCCTTTGTTAATTTTCATTTCAAATGCAAAATCCAATAAAATGAAGCCATTCTGATAAACCAGTTTGGTTCGATATTATTGGTCTATTTATTAATTTGAAAAAATAATTATTTTTATTGATCAATGTCTACGGTATTATTTCACTTCTTCATCAAAATACATTTTTTTAATTCCGAGTCTATAAAAAGAATTTGATGTTTGTGATATAGCCAGAATACTTTATGTACAAATAAGAATTATTTACTTTGAAAAAATAAACTCTAATTCGATTGCACTGATTTTCGTTTTAAGTGAATAATGGATTTCTAGAATAAGTACAATTGATAGCCTTAGGGTGACTACATTTTTTTATTTTGATCATTAATAAGTTCAAACATGTAATGTATAAAATCAAAAATCTATCATCTTATAATCAACATCATAATGATTATACAAAGAAGTTAAATATCCATTATACGGGTTTTTTTCTAAATTATTATAAATAGTACTGTGATCTCTGCAAAAAAAAAAAGAAGTTTTAAGTACACTAAATAGTTCATTCAACTATTGAAAATGTCATCGCATCATTTTGTCTCTTGACAACTTTTGCGTAGGTACTATTTTTTGCACCTGGATTATTAAAAATAAAAACCATTTAACCTTGTTAAAAAAAAAGTACTGTGAGCACACTTTGAATGAAAAATTTGGAAAAATAACGAAACGTGGAGTTCACATACATAAAAGTACATCTTACACAACAACTGTCAACAATATGAAAAAGAAAAAACATCTTAATCATTCACTTTTATTGAAAATCGCTATTTACTTCTAAGGTTGCATCAGCGAAAAAAATAATATTGATCTCAATTATTGAAAAAAAAAGTTCATTTCATTAGAGGTCTTCTAACAACATAATATTAATCCTTTTTTTTTTCTATTTTCTTGATTAAAACAAACAAAAAGAAAAGAAAAGAAAAGAAAAGAAATTTTATTTTTGACGAAACGAAAATAAACTCAAGAATTCATCAATTTCTTGAATTATGCATAGCAACTTAAAGTAATATGTAGGCTAGATACCAATAGTTTTGAGAGTGCAAAAAAGAAAAACTTAGAAAAAAAAGAAAACAAATATAATTACAAAGAAAGTTCATCGGAGACTAGAGTCCATCGGATCCAAGAATTTCTGGACCTGGACCCGGTTGATTGAAATTCGTTAGAGCCGGATCCGACCCGAACTCGGTCGATTAAATTTTTTTACAGACCCAGAACCGGATCCGGACCCGAACTTTAGCAGTAAAAGTTTAAAAATCTGGACCCGGACCCGATGAATACGAAATTTTCAGACCCCGATCCGACGGACTCTACCGGAGACTTTCTATTTGGAATAAAAGTTCATTTCACAAACTGTTATTCGTGCATCAGTGACGTCAATCAAAAGACAACAATAGCACGAAAATGTTTTCGTTGCAAAGCAATAGAATACAAATTCCTATTTTTTTTTATACTTTAAATTTTCTTTTTTTTTGTTCATGTCAAAGAAAAAACAATCCATGTTTGTTATTGAATTATTGTTTTTTGCTTTTCAGTTTTGAATAAATTAAATTTGCTAAAAGAAAGAAGAAAAAAAGGAGCAATAGAATCTAAATGACGTAGAAATGCTGCTGAATAAAACAATATCCATTGGAATTCACCTCCACGAAAAAACACCAATACAAAGAGAGAGAGAGAGAGAGAAAGATGTAATGTAAATAACAGGCAGGCAGGTATAAATATAAATGAATTTTTACATATACGGGCTTACTTAAAAAATTTCACAATCAAAAAAACGTTACTTTCGCAATGCTACAAGCGCAAAGAATTATTCTTGCAGTCATTCTACTGTCGCTAGTAGCAGAATTAACGAGTATGTTTTAGCTTAAATCATTATCTACGCTTGATTTTGAAATGAAATCAATTCTATATTACAGATAGCCAAACATGTTCATACATGTGGGATCCAATTTTCGAACTGAACTCAAACAATCCACCGGAAATGTGTGATGGTATGTATATTTAACGTTCGATTGTTAGAATGTTCTGAATGATATTTTTGTTTTTTCATGAATAGTGAGCACAACAAGTGGTTCGTCATGTACTTTTCCATTCAATTATAACGGGGTAAGTTACGAAAATCAAAAATAGGGACGATGAATCGACAAAAAAAAACTTACTTTTGTTCATGTCGAATTCTTTGAGATGGTATTGTACAAACAAAGTATTGAGTTCAATTAATAGAAAACAATGATTTGAATTCATACAGAAAATGATTATTTTAAGTTTACTCATGGAATACAATAATACATTTAATATCATTAGAGACTTTAGTTCTAATAGTTTTGATCAAAATCTTTTAGAAATAAATCCCATCTGTAAAAGATTCTCTTGAAATAGTCTTCAATTTTGTTTAAGATATATATATATATTGCTAAGAGCCATATTTAGCTTATCTTTTTCATAACATGATTCAAAATGTCGAACCAGTGAACATCTATTTTCGGAAGGGATAAAAATATAAAACATGACTCAATAATTTAGAACTTTAGAAGCGTAAACCTAGTCTCTGAAAGAGCGACATCCTCTTAGCTTCTACATTACATAAAAGACTGACTATTAGAATAATTATAACTTCTAATAATAATTCATAACAATCAATCCTATTTGATTGAGTTTATATTCGACTAAGCTATCAATCCTTCATTAGTGCATCAGAAAATTATCTTTTTGTCTTTATTATTATAAATGAATTTTATTAATATTATATTTTTGTATTTTTGTCGCAACCCATAACTAAGAATACTTAGTCATATATAACAATGCTCAAAAATGAAATGAGATCTGTCTAGCGGCGTAATTCAGCACTAGAGGCGAAAGGAGCGCAGGGTGGTTGTGTTCCAGACAAAAGGTGCAGTGTGTGGATAATTCTTAAAAGTAGGAAGCGTTGTGTAGATGAATTTCAGAAGCAGGAGGGGGAATCGGTCGTATCTTCCATAAGTTACGTCCCTCGATTGGTCCATCCTATTCAAACTTCTAGTGTATAAGCTTACCATCGGCCAAGCGAAGACTTTATAAAAACTTATCTGTCAGGCATATCTATCATTCTTTTTAAGACAAGAGAGACAGAAAAGAAACTTTCTTTCCATGAGTAGTTTTACATAAAACAACCTGTATCATAGGATTATCAACAGTAAGAGTAACAAGTTTTTTTTGCTGATAAACTCAATAAGATCTCTACAGTAATATCTAATTATACATAACTTCTGTTTTTTTTTATCATTATTAATTCAACTTAATCGATATATTTATTTATTTATTTTAGATTACGTACAAAACCTGTACTATTTTTGGTCCAAATAATGGTAATTTTCGACCACAATGTGCTATCACAGTGAATTCAAATAGGACTGCAGTTACATGGTCATTTTGTCAGGGTAAGTTGATGAATATAAATAAATTAAAAAAGAAAAAGCAAATAAAAAATCTATATACAATATAAATATTATATATATTTTTTTCTTTAGTACCTACTGATGCAGTTATTTTCTATTCAACTGTTCGTAAAGGTGGTTATTGGACACAAAATGGTGGTAGTACACAAGGTGGTACTATGATATGGATATATGGTAATCGATTTGCACAAAATGGTTTTAATTCAGTACCATCAATAACAAATACAAATACTGTACAATTAGTTGATAGTTATTCTGTTTATGATTGTGAAATGCATAATGATAAAACAACAAATACACAATTAACTTGTTATGCACCATCATTACCTGAAAGTCTTTATCAAATTCGAGTTTCTGTTAATGGTAATTTAATTCCACTCTATCAATATTATGATTCAAATCGTGCACTTTTTTCATCAATGCCAAGTCAAACACCAACTATTACTGGTATTCAACCACAATCAGGAACACCACAATCATTAATTACATTAACGGGCTCATTTAAAACATCATGTTATTCACGAGATATTGAAGGTTGTGCACAAGATAATAATCCACTTATTTCTCGGTAAGAATCATGTTTTTTTTTTGTTTTGTTAATTATTAGTAAATAAAAAACAAATCCATTGATTATTTTTAGAATCTATGTTGGCGGTCATCTTTGCAATGTTATTGATCAATCAACTGGTTCTATGTAAGTATTAAATTTCTAGATTTTTTTTTTGTTTTGTCTTATTCCTATTTCAATAATTAGTTATACAAATGTAACTTCAACAAGTCTTACTTGTAAATTCGAAGATAATGAAGTTGGTATGTAATTATTTTAATTTTTTTGAATATTTTGTTTATTAATAATAAAATTTACAATACATAGGTTTATTCAATATTAGTATGATTGTTACAAATGAATATGGTCGTTCATTAACTAGTTCAAATTTATATCGAGTATCAGCTGATGAAAATTTATATACATTTCAAAGCTATGCCGGTTTGATATATTTTTATATTAAGTTGAATGAATAATTTTTGTTTTGTTTTTTTTTTGTTTAGTTATTTCAAATGTTATGCCAAATTCGGGTAGTACACAAGGTGGTACAATATTAACTATCAGTGGTAATTATTTTAGTAATAGTGCAACTTATCCTTTGGTAGTTAAAATTGGTGGAGAACCATGTACAGTTTTAAGTTCAACAACAACAACAATTCAATGTCAAACACCCGTAGCACCACAAGGAAGTCAAAGTCAATATCAAGGTTAGATTAAAATTTTTAATAGAAAATTTTGCTTTTTGAATTGAATATTCTATTTTCATTTAGGTGGTCGTGGTTTACAAATTTTTCGTACATCAGGTTCTACTACACAGGTATAAATTATAATTAATTAATTATATACATATATATGGTTTTATATATTTTCTTAATCTTTTAGTCGACATTATCTAGTGCAAATCCACCAACACCAACTGGTAATGCGTTATGGACAGATGACGCTCTCTTTGTTTCAAGTTCATCATCAGCTGAAACAGTGTGGCTTATTGGTTTTATACGTTTACCTAAAACAGCTACATATACATTTATTTTGGATACCAATGGTAATGCTGCTTTATTTCTTAGTACAGACGATAGTCCAACAAATAAAGTAAATATTGCTACTGCAACTAGTACTCAATCAACACCTATTTCATTAAATAATAATACAAAGTAATTTATTTTTAATAAAAATAAAAATAAAAACAAATCAATATTTTAACTTTTTTAGTTATTATTTATTTTGTGTTGGTTCTCGATCAAGTGGATATTTACGATTAGGTATTCAAGCACGAATGCATGAAACAGCATTAACAGCAAAAACATCAAGTTTAATACTAAATGAAATTCAACGTATCGATGTTACTTCTAATGCTACTTCTGAACAACAAGTAAACAATAACAATAAAAAAAAACATAAACGAAAAGAAAATATTTTTATTTCTTTTGAAATTTTAGCGAATTACTTATACAGTAAGTGCATCAAATGGAACATCTGAAGTTCAATCATTACAAGTTGATAATTCAATATTTCAAATTGGTTTTCGTGGTGTTTATACAGGTATACTATTTTATTTTATTTTTCTCAATAAAAACATAATTTTATGTATATATTTTTTTATTTTTTAGCTATTCAAAATGGACGACCAACAGCTGTTGCTATTCAAACAGCACTTAATGATTTACCAACTATATCTCCATTAACAGTATCAGTTTCAGCAACAAGTACACTTTATATGATAACATTTCCAGCTGCAATGGGTGATGTACCTTTATTAACATGTATATCAACATCACCAAATACACCAAATATAATTGAAGTTGTTCAAGGTATTGGTTCAGGTTCAAAAATAGCATTTGAATTAGATGGACAATTAACAGATTATATTGATTTTATTAATTCTAATTTAACACAAGCAGATCTTTATCCAATAATAAATAATTTATTTAGTATTCAATGTCCACCATCAATAAATAATGCTAAATTAACAACATCAATTGTTTATTTAGAAGATTTTGAAACAAATTGTATTTATGATGAAACACCAATAACAACAAATGCATTTTGTGGACAATGTTCATTAAATGGTAATACATTAATTAATAATAATAATAAAACTGGCAATTATTTATGTTTTGCATATCGTATACTTAATAGTTATGTTATATCAATTGATATGGGTATACAAATAAATGGTGATACAACAACAACACTTTGGCCAAGTATATCATTTTCACCAAAATCTGATAAACTTTGGCATTATACATGTATTGATATACGTGCTAGACTTCTATCACAATCATCAATTGATTCAACTGTTTCATCAATTGTTATAACATATGCATGGCTTAATAAGAATATAAAAAACAGTATTTATATTGATACTGTATCAATTCGTACAGCATTACCACAAGGTTATGAAGATATTAATACATATCCAATTGATCAATCAATTAATTCATCATGTGTTTTTCCATTTTATTATAATGGAAATAGTTATCCAGCATGTACATTAGATAATAATAGTATACCAATATGTGCTGATATTAATAATGTTACATATCAATGTAAAAGTTCATCAATAGAAGGTGTACGAAGACTTTATCCAAAACATCAATTATCATATAATACATTACAAGTGGCATATTCATCAATTAATTCACAAATTACAACTAATTTTCGATATAGTGATTGTGTAAGACCAACACAATTTGTTTCATGGCCATCATCAGTAAAGTTCTTTTTTCTTTTGTTTTTACTAATTAATGGATTAATAATGTATCTAATTTTATTTATTATAGAATGCAACAATAACTAGTTTATCAACAGCATCAGATAAAGCTAGTGGAACATTTGATCTTGTATTTAATTCACAAACATATGCATCAATACCTGTTAGTATTTCAGCAACAGATTTAGCTAATCAATTACAAGCATCATCGAATTTTGGCTATTTAAATGTAAAACGTTCAGGCGACTGTACAGGATATTCATATGTTATTGAATGGATTGCTAATGGTGGACAAAAATCAGCTATTTCAATAACAAATGCCGGTTCAGTTTTACCATCTGGTACAACAGTAACAGCAACAGTTGTACAATCAGGTGGAGTTCTTTTTAAACCATTATCAGGAGATATGACACGTACATATCAAGCTAATCCACAGGTAATAAAGAATGATTTTTATAGACAAAACAAAAAAAAAACTTTATTAATTATATTTTTTATTTCAAGGTTGAAGTTTTTGTTGGGGGTTTTCCATCACAATGTTCAAGTAATAGTACATGTGATTTTCAATGGTTATCAAGTCAAACTCCAACTGTAACATCAATTGTACAAAGTAGTATGACATTAACAATTACAGGTACTGGTTTTAGTACAATACCAAGTTCAAATACAGTTATTATTGGAACATCTGGTTCATGTACTGTTACATCAGCTACAACAACATCACTTCTATGTACAATTGCTGCTGCTCCATCAGGCACTTATAATGTTCAAGTTAATGTTGCTGGTAAAGGTTTAGCATCAAGTACATCAAATTTCACAGCAACTATATCACTTCAAGTTACATCAATTTCTCCAATACAAGGAGGAGCTGGTTAGTAAAATTTTATCTACACTAAAAAAAAACAAAAAAAAGAGAAAACTACGAATTTTTATTGATATATATGTGTATATATAGGTGGTGGCTATACAATAAATGTAACTGGAACAGGATTTTCATCATCTTCATCTGTTACAATTGGTGGTAATTTATGTACAGATCCAATCATATCTAATTTTTCATTAATAACATGTACTGTACCACCTACAACAGTTTTAACAAATACTCAAGTATCTGTTGTTGTTACATCGGATTCAAATACAGCTACATCATCAACACAATTTACATATGATGTTACTAATACACCTTCAATAACATCAGTTAGTCCTAATGTTGTAACAATGTCTGCTGGTCAATTAACAATAACTGGTACAAATTTTGGTAGTAATTCAATTTCTGTATTAATTGGTACAACAAAAGCTCAAGTTCAATCAATATCATCAACACAAATCATAGCTAATTTACCATCATTAGCACCTGGTCTTTATCCAATTCGAGTTATAACAACAAATGGCTATGCACGTCCAGCATTACAAATTGAATATCGTTTTTATGTACAAACTGTAGAACCACACATCGGTTCATTATATGGTGGAAGTGATATTTATGTACAAGGTGAAGGTTTTGATAATACAACAACAGTTTCATTTACTGATGGTTCAAATGATGATGTATCATGTAATGTTATATCTTTTCAATCAAATCAAATTCATTGTCGAACAGAAAATGTTGCACCACGTGTTATCATATCATCAAATGGTGTTGATCCAACTTATGGTAGTGGTTTTGCATGGTCACCACAATTTGCAACTGTCGAACAAGGTGCAATTGTTGAATGGCAATGGGGTTCATCAGCACTTTTAACAACATTATCATATAAAGTTCAACAAGTAACAAGTGGTTATTCAACAACACCATCATCAGGTGGTTTTGATTCAGGCAATGCAACAGCATCAGGTAAGAAAAAAAAATTTTTTTGATTAAAATAATAATTATTTAATAAACGATATTTATTTTTTTTTATTTTTTATTTAAGGATCATTTTCATATCAATTTCAAAATACTGGAACATATTATTATTGGACACCAGCTGTTGATCAATCTGGTTTAATTGTTATGCGTGGTGTTATTAATGTTATTGCTGCTCAACCACGAACACTTACTGTTAAAGTATCATCAAGATCATTTACTGGTAAATAATCTTGTTTTTATTATGTTTTTTCTTCAAAGAAATTAGTTTTTTTTTAAATCTGTTTTAGCTCAATCATGTGCTTTTCCATTTACATTTAATTCTATTACATATACAGCATGTACGACAAATAATGACACGCAATTATGGTGTTCACCAACATCAACATATACTGGTCAACGACTTTATTGTACACCAAATGGTATAAATTTATTTAATCGATTCATTTGACTAATCTTGTTTTTTGTTTTTGATAATATTTAGCTGCTGTACCATCATCATCATGTGTTTCAAGTTTATTAATTAATCCAAGTTCATGTTCACAAACAGTTCCATCAAATGTTTTAAAAGTTTTATTTACACCATGTACAATTGGTACAGTAACATCAATTTCACCAGTACAAGGTACAACAGGAACAACAATTACAATAATAGGAACAGGTTTTAGTACAACAACATGTGAAAATATTGTTCTTATTGGATCATCATATCAATGTCCAATATCAAGTGCATCAACAACACAAATTGTTTGTCAAATTGGTTCAAATTCTTTACTTAATGGAAAATCAATTCAAAGTTTTAATATTATTAGAGATCGTCAAGGTTTCTTAAGTAATAATGGTCTTATACAATTTCAATTTCAAGCAAAAATTACCAATGTATCACCATTACAAGGTTTATTTTTATTCTTTTTTGAAAAATTTCAGAAAAAAAAAGAAAATTATTTATTTTCTTTTTTTTATAGGTTCAATTGCTGGTGGTACTCAAGTAACAATAACTGGTGATGGTTTTATACCAGATGATACACGTGTTTTTGTTGGAAGTATTGAATATACATCATTAGCAACAATAACTTATTCACAAATTCAATTTATAACTCAACAACCACCATCAAATTATATCGATCAAACAATTCCAATAACAATATTAATTGGTACAAATCAAGCTGTATGTTCATCAGGATCATGTACATTTAAATGGGCACGAAGTGTAACACCATATCTAACATCAGTTAGTCCAACATCAATAAATGGTCCACAAACATTAACTTTAACTGGTCAAAATTTAGAAGCTACAGGTTCAATTTCATCAGCAAATACTCATGTAACTGTTGATGGACAACCATGTAATGTAACATCAGTATCAAATTCATCAATTACATGTGCTATTGGTAATACTCAAGTTGGAGATTATTCATTTGTTGCATCTATTGATGGTATGATTTTCATTGAATATTGAACACTTACAATACAAATTTTATTGTTTGTTTTATTTTTTCTAGGTGTCGGAACTGCTGTATCATCACCAATTATTACATCAATTGCAACTATTTCAAATGTTTCACCAACATCAGGTAGTACATATGGTGGTGTTCTTCTTACAATTAATGGTAATGGATTTGCTCGTTTATCAAGTAATATTCAAGTAACAATTGGTTCAAGTACATGTTCAATAGTTGAAACAACACCTGGACAAGTTCAATGTATAGTTCCAACTCAAGGATCAAATACATCACCAGCAACAATTCATGTTATTTCAAATGGTGTAACATTTCCAGGCTCATTTACATTTACATACAATTCAGGTGTAACACCAACAATAACATCAATTAGTCCATCATTTGGAACTGCTGGTCAAACATTAACTATTTCAGGTTCAAATTTTGTTAGTGGTCAAACAAGTGTTTCGATTGGTGGTGCAACATGTACGAATGTTAGTGTATCATCATCATCATCAATAACATGTACAATTAGTTCAAGTCCAGCTGGTAGTCAACCAGTTATTGTTTCTGTTTCATCAGTTGGTAAATCAAATTCTAATATTCAATTTCAATATACTTTACAAGTTAATAGTATATCACCATCTCGAGGTAGTTATGGTGGTGGTCAATTAGTTACTGTTAATGGTGATGGATTTAATACATCAAGTATAAGTGTTACAATTTGTAGTCAATCTTGTCAATCTATATCTGTTCTATCAAATACTCAATTAACTTGTGTAACACCATCGGCAAGTTATTCTGCAACAGATCAATCATGTAGTTTAACAGTTACAGTTGGAAGTTTATCACAAAATATAACTTATGTATATCAATCAAATTTAACAGCAACTATTACATCAATAAGTCCAACACGAGGTGGAACTGGTGGTGGTACATCATTAGCAATTACTGGAACAAATTTTCCGTAAGTTTTTATTGAAAAAAAATTTTTTCTTGTAAAAAAAAACCTAATTTCTTTTATTGTTTTTAGAACATCAAGCAATAGTGTAACAGTCAGTATTGCTGGTGTATCATGTTCAATTCAAACAGTTTCATCAACATCAATTACTTGTTTAACAGGTAGTTATTCTCAAACAACAGTTCAAGCACCAGTCATTGTTAGTATTGTTAATGGTGGTAATGCAATTGGATCGGCTCAATTTCAATATATTGATCTTTGGTCAAGTCCATGGACATGGGGAGGTGATTCACCACCTGATGAAGGAACAATTGTTTCAATTGATAGTGGAAAAACAGTTTATTTTGATACAACAACACCTATTATTAAAGCTATTGTTATTGATAATGCTTCATTAATATTTGATGATAATCAAGATGTTGCTTTAAACGCTGAATATATATTAGTTGTAAATGGTGGTCGATTACAAATTGGTACTGAAACTAATCCATTTCAACATAAAGCAGTTATTACAATGTATGGTCATTTAAGATCAATTGAATTACCAATATGTAAGATATTTCTTTTTTTTCGAATAAAAAACAAAAACAAACATTTATTAAATATTTTTCATTTTAGTCGGAGCGAAAGTTTTAGCTTTACGAGAGGGTATTGTTGATATGCATGGCAGAAATGTTGTTCGAACATGGGCACGTTTAGCTTCTACAGCTGCTGCTGGATCAACTCAAATAACTCTTCTTCAAAATGTTGATTGGTCAGTAGGAAGTCAAATAGTTATTGCAACAACAGGAGATTATTTAAGTCAAGGACAAAGTGAAATACGTACAATAACAGCTATATCATCAAATGGACTAACATTAACATTAGATTCAGCATTAACTTATAGTCATTTGGGTGTAACGCGAAATGTTGGTTCAACATCAGTTGAAATTCGTGCTGAAGTTGGTCTTTTATCACATAATGTTATTTTTCAAGGTTTGTTAAAAATATATAAGTTATTTTTTTTAAAAATAATATTATGATTTAAAATAATAGGTTCAACAACTTCAACATGGAATACAACAATTGAAGCATGTCCAACTGGTTTTAATCCAGGTATAATAATTGTATTTTTGTTTTTGTTAGTCATCGAATAAAAAAATTTCATATTATTTTAATCATAGGTGAATTTGCTGTTCAAACATGTTTTCTTGGTCGATATGGTGAAGAAATTGGTTCCGATCAATTTGGTGCAACAATTATGGCTAGTAGTAATATGGATGATATTTCGGATGGTGTGCAACATGTTATACTTCGCTTATCAAATATTGAAGTAAAACATTTTTTCTTTTATGTTGATTTTTTTTTCAAAATTTTCTTTTTTTTCATTTCTTAGGTGTTCAATGGTGGTCAAGCTTTTCGTCTCGGTCGATATCCAGTTCATTTTCATATGAATGGAAATATGAGTTTATCATATATTAAATCATCTTCTATTCATCAAACATTTAATCGAGCTGTTAATATTCATGCAAGTCATTATCTTACAGTTGAAAATAATGTTATCTATAATATAATGTATGTAAAAGAGTATAAAAGAAATAATTTTTTTTTTTGAAATTATATTTTAGGGGTGGAGCGATGTTTTTAGAAGATGGTATTGAAGTGGGTAATATTTTACGTGGTAATTTAGCTGTATTTGTACGAACAAGTTCAAGTTTACTTAATGAAGATGTTACACCAGCTGCTTTTTGGGTAAATTGAAATACAAAAATAAAAAAAAAATTTATTTTATATATTTATTATATTGAATATTTTCTTAGGTTACTAATCCAAATAATATTGTTGAACATAATGCCGTTGCTGGTGGTACACATTTTGGTTATTGGTATCGAATGCTTCGAACACCAGATGGACCATCATTTGCATTGTATCCAAGTTCTTGTCCATATCGACATCCATTTGGTCGGTTTTTTAATAACAGTGTACATAGTGTTGGTCGTTTTGGTGTTTGGTTTTTTCCCGAATATTCACCAACTGTAGCTGGTAGTTGTACAAGTGATACACCATATCAAGCTATAGTTGATGGATTAGTTTCATGGAAAAATAATCGTGGTATTGAATGGGTTATGTCAAGCACAGTTCAAATAAGAAATACTATTGTTTTTGATAATCATGATACTGGTATTCGATGTGTAACAGCTATTAATCATCAAGCAACTGATCTTCCAAATCTTCGTAGTACATTTTATAATGAAAATAATGGTTCATCAGTTATTAATTCAATTATTATTGGTGATACAGGTGTATCTGGAAGTTCAGTTGTGCCAGGTGAAGGTGGTCTTGTTGGTAAGTTGAAATATTAAAAACAAAATAAGAAAACAATTCGTTAATTCGAATATTTATAGTTATGTGGGATCGTGGTCTTCGTGTAAGAAATGTAACATTTGTTAATTTTACAAGTTCAAATACACAAGCTATTTATGGACCAATTATTACCGGTCGTTGTATGATTTATTGCGGAGGTATGATGCAGAAAAAGAAAAAAAAATCATATTTCATCTATTTTCTATTTAATTAATATTAGGTTGGTTAACTAAATTTTCTCAATTATCATTTGTAAATGTTCAAAATCGTGGTAATTTTCGATGGTCATATGATGGTTTATATCAAGATGAAGATGGTACATTATCTAATGTTGCTGGTGGTATAGTTATGTCACCTGATGGTCTTTGGAATACATCAAGTGCATGCACATCAACACCAAATTTTCCTAATGCTGTAACATGTCCATCATCAGTAGGCAAATGGATTCGATTTGCTTTTAATAAAGCTAACCTTGGAGCTAATGGTGAAGTTTTAAATATTTATGATACGTCAAGTCATCATACAGTTGTACTTAATCTTCCAAAACGACTTACACATACTAAAGGTTATATGATGAATTTATTAACAAGACAAACTTATTTATTTCAATTTCAAAATGCTAATGTAAATCTTTTTTTCGTTTTTTTTTAATATTCTTTGAAAATATGTTGTTATTGTTGGGTTTTTTTTGTATTTGTAGAGTTCAGTTAATTTATCTTATTCTGGTGTTGTTTATGATCTGGCACCCGGTGATCATCTTATTGTTCTTCATAACGTTGATTATATGCCTGATCGTGTCAATACAATTTCAGCTACAACATTTACTGCTATATCATCTGCGCCACTTACAACTGCAAGTAACAATGGTGATTGGTATTATGATAATTCTACACATATATTTTCCTATATCGGTAATATTTATCATATGTCTGTTTTGTTTTTCTTTTGTATATTAATGTGTTCCAATATAATTTAGTTAAAAATCCATCGTCAAATACTGTTTCAATTGATGTATCAATTGCATTGAATGTCGTCAAATGTCGATATCCAAATTGTGAAACACCAGCACAACCAGGTCTTGAATTGCCAGCAACAGCACGACCAGATGATGCTTTATATTGGTCAAATGATTCAGATTGGAGTTTTGCATTAGAAGGTTATGGTGGATATGGTAAATTCATAAAATTCTAATTATTAATTGTTTATTTCTTATATTTTTAATTTTTAATAGGAAGTGTTAAACCTAGTGATGATACAAATATTTATATACCTCGTGGTATTTGGCTTGTTGTTGATTATCCATTACCTCGTATTCGTTCATTGCGTATTGATGGTGTACTGGAATTTGAACAAGTATAAATTTTATTTTATTCTATTTGATTTATTAAAATAAAAAAATTCTTGAATTTTTTTCTAGGGTATAAATAATACTCTTTATGTTGATAGTATTCTTATCAATGGTGGTCAATTAATTGTCGGTAAGTAAAATATTTCTTTAGTTTGAATTTAGTTATATATATTTATATATATATTTTTTTTTCTTTTTTATAGGTTGGCCAAATGATCCACTTACATCTAATGTTGATATTATTATAAATGGTTCATCATCAGTCAATGTTTTATTACCTAATGATGCTGGATCAATTGGACCTCGAGTAATTGGTGTTTTAGGTGGTCTTGATTTACATGGTATTTCACATAATGTCTCTTGGACTCGTCTTGCTACAACAGCATTAGCAGGTCAAAATTCTATTACATTAAGTGAACCAGTCGATTGGGTAGTTGGTAATGAAATTATTTTAACAACAACAGATACAAGAATTGAACATGTAGAACGACATACTATTGCTAGTATTGGTGGAGGTCGTACAACAATTATTTTAGTTAATAATCTTGCATATACACATATTGTCATTCATAATGTATTTCCTAATGGTCAAATGTATCATGTAGCTGGTGCTGTTGGTCTCTTAACAAGAAATGTACGTGTTATAAATCGTAGTCCAGCATCAGAAAAATTTGGTTTTCGTATACTTGTTACTGATTATGCAACAAATGTTTGGAATCCAGTTGGTTCTGAATATTTATATACATATTATAAAGGTTATGCACGATTATCTAATGCACAATTTATTGGTTATGGTCAATTTGTTGATGCTCCTAACTATGATAAACGTGAAGCAATTCATTTGTATAATCTTGGTGATTGGAATATATCACGACCAACTTATGTTGATTCATGTTCATTTGATACTGGTTATTATTCAGCGTATGTATCTATTGAAAAATTTTTCTTATTATCTAAATATATGTGTATTTTAGAATTGGTATATGGGATACAAATGGTGTTCCAGTTACAGGAAATGTTGTTTATAATACTTATGAATCAGCTATTGTTGTTGCAGGACAAAATAATATTATACAAAAGAATCTTGTTTCAACTGTATATTGGTCCGGTGTAGCTCAACCAGAATATGCTGAATTTAATACTAATAATGATGGTGCAATTATGTCAAGAGATGCTGTTAGTGTAATCATGAAGGTATGTTTTTTTTATTTAATTCATTTGACTATTTAATAATGTATTCCATTTAGGACAATTTGGTATCTGGTGCACAACGTTTATGTTATCGTATTCAAGGAAATGCATGTCCAGGAACTGTTTTACCAACTGGTATGAGTAATGATTATGATAATAATGAAGCTCATTCAGCTATGTCTGGTGTTAATATTTGGCCTATGGATCTAGGCTTTGACTATGATACAAGTAAGTTATTAGAAAAAGTGTAATATTAAATGAATTAATTATTTAATTAATATTATTATAGGTTGTGTATTATTCAAAGGTTTCAAGTAAGTTTAGAAAATTGTCTAAAATATTTCTTATATATCTATATGTTTTTTATTTCTATTTAATAGAACTTATAAAACATGGTATTATGGTCTATACATCAATACAGCACACAATATCATTATTGATTCATGTCAAGTAGCTGATAGTAGTGTTGGTATTTTTACACTTGTCATTGGTCCTCCAGGTAATTTTTGTTTCAAAAAAAAAATAATAAAAAAATAGAATTATTTCATTTAAATCTATTTAATTCTTTTTTTTTAGCTACATCACATCAATTTGGTAACAATTCAATCACAATACGTAATTCAATAGTTGCTGGTGCCATAACACAAAACGATTGTAGTGATACTCCCGATAGTACTACACTTAGTGAACGATATGGTTCAAAAGCCATTCCTCTAGTATCTGCAACATCATCATCGGGAAATTCAGGTGGTCGAACAGGCATTACATTTCCATATTTTTCACGTGATAATATGATGCCAACTCATCCGTGGACAGGTATTGGTGCCTATCCAACCCGTAAGTTAATTGATTTTTATGAAAATATTTATAAAAACTACTTTTTTCTTCGGTATTTATAGTTGCTGGTATAATGACAATAACAAATGTGACATTTGGATTCTTTAATGATATATGTTCACGTCGTGATATAGCTATTCAAGTATCACAAAATAATGATGATGGTCAACATCCAGTAGTAACAAGTCAAATATCAGTTTATAATACATCAACATCAAATTTAATTTTCAATGGACGACCAAATCTTGCAGCTGTTAATCCAAGTGATTGTGTTGGTAAGAAGAGATCTTTGTCGATTTCTTTTTTTGTTTTTGAATTTGATATTTATAATTCAATTTAATATAGATATGGATTGTGATGGTTTGAAAAAGAGTTTACTTACTGATACTGATGGTACTTTATTTGGTCTGCCATCAACTGTCTTTTCTGAAGCTGAATATCTTTGGGGTAATTAAAATATTTTATATATCTTTTATTCATTTGTTGTTTATTTATTTTTCTTTCTATTAAGGTAACCAAGCGCATGGTGTAGG